CCCAAATGTGCACGCAAAGAAAGAAGGCGTGGTTTCAGGAACAGCAGTCGTGTTGATGCAGCCATGTCAGGGAGACGCTGTGTGTTTCAGTGCGAAAGCAAAAGCACTTTATTTGGCCTTCCGGAAGTAGATGCAATTAGGAATCATTGGTTAAGATTTATTTACAACAGTACAGCACAACCCAGATGTTCGAATTTGTGCAACGCATTTTATGGAGGACAGTTTTTTGAACCTAGAAGAGCACAAGGCTGGCTGCTTTTCCCGGTGAGAGGGTTCAACACCCGCACTTTTTCTGCAGTTTTTCCGCAGTTTTGCAAAAATGCCTTACTACAGTCGCTCAATGGTTATTTACATGTACTTTGAATGAGTGTTTATGCTTTCGAGGTTTTTAAATAAGCTTGCTGTAAAAATAAGCACTAAGTAATATTATTACTATTATGTCAGAAGTCACTGGAGTTACACCCACTAAGTTGCAAAAAGAGTTAAGAGTGGCAGAGTTAGTATTCAGTTTGAATGTAGTGAAAACGCTAGGTTGAATACTTTATTGGCTACTCATCAGTTAAATATTTAGCATCTTATATTCTGAGTAAATGTGACATTTTTGTCAGAATTTCTAAAAAAAAAATCCATCATGATGAGTGTTGTTTTCTACAAAGGGGCTGGTTAGTGTTAGTTAGCAACGACAAAACCAGTTTTCCTTACAAATGTATAGATAGACAGACAGCCGGTTAGACAGATGGATCGCCACTCGTACATTAAAAAGAAGGTGTGAAAGATATGTAGTCCTGCTTACTGTGTATTAGGCCACTGCTTAACAATATTTTAAGAAATCGTCTTGATACATTAAAGATTAAATTAAAATGCAGAAATTAAATTGGGATTCCCCCTCTGAAACTCGGATCTACTTGCTCATGATAACTTACTGGGTTACTGAGTTAACCTCATTTCTGCAGTTGCAACATATGGAGGTGGTCTTGATAGTCTATAATACAACAGATTAAATACAACACAGCAATAATATACACAATGGCCTGAAGAAAATGGGTGTTCATTCAAAGAAGGTTTTCCTATGAATTAATTAGTAGAACAGTCCATTTCTCGTGTGCATTTGTACCCCTTGTTTCTGGAGAATGCAGCTGAGAGTCGGCTCGCATTCCACAAGGTTGTAAATGTATCGGGTTACCATGAAACCAGGGTCTTGTTCGGCGTCCTGGGGTGTTACAAAGTATTTGTGAAATCTAGCTAACAAAATATATATTGTGTGTTGGAGTGGTCCAGACGCTACACCACCTTCAAGAGCACACTCCTTCCAGTCTCTCACCATCTGGTCTACCATTCACTACACTGGACTTACCAGACTCTGTTTATGCTATTTACCTGTCGCTACTTACCCTTAGATTCCAAGGTTCCTCCTACGTTGTTCTCCTTTGCTCCAAGATTACGAACCCTCGGCAATCCTGCTAAGGAAACCCATCTTCTGGACTCGGCTAAGATTCATTGAACTGTCAATTGAACTGGATACTCACCCATCACTGCTTCAATCATTGTGCTTCATCTAAACCTGTCAATAAAC